AAGTTGTATCCTTTTATTTTATTTGTGCATTCATGTTATAAAACTTTTATTAGTCCAGTTTTTTCCTTGCACATCAAAAAGTCTATATAACTATTACCCATCTTCATATTTTTCTTTTATATACTTACCAACCTACAACTTTTCAAGTCTTCAGGCTTTTTTAAAATTGAATTTAAGTAAAAGCTACTTAGACCAGGTCGGAACACTGGCTTAAAGTTTTTTAAATAGTTATGCAAATTTTAAAAAAATAATAATAATAGTAATAAAAAAGTGCAAAATTGGTATAGATAAAAAACCTTACATTACTTGTAATGACGTTATTATATTGTGAATGATTTACAAATTTCTATATGTGCCGATTGTATGAAAATGCCATTAAAAGTTCAAAAAATGTAAAAAGATGGCAAAAATATAAATAGCGAATAAAAAAGTAAAAATAAAATACCAAAAATTTATTGGCCAAAATAAAAATATTTGATCATGAGGGTCAAAATGGGATGGACGTGAATGCATTCAAGGTTAGGAGTGACGAAAACAGTTTATTTAGCGTCATATCTTAATTTTTATGATGCGTCTTAGAAGCGTCAGGATGAGATTAGCGTTGCATTCAAAACAAACACTATAATTTTTAAGGTTTAATTAGTTTATTTATAAATTAGATGAAATCATTAAATGCATTAACTTCTCCTAAAAACGCATAGGGATCCAAATTACTTACTTATACGTTTCCAAAAATAAAATAATTTTTATTTAAAGATCTTTGAACATATACAATGTAGCATAGATGACATAAGAAAATACATAGATGTATTCAAAACATAGATGACATAAGAAAAAACACCACGCCGCGATAAACATAAAAATAATCGTTAACGTACAAAACTGTCTCTATGTTAAGCCTCATGTAAATAAGACAAAGTCAATATAATCTCCAACGCATTAAAATGCAAAACATCTGATCTGTAGTTTTAGACATCTTTAAACATATGTAGTTTTAGACATCTTTAAACATTAGACATTTTTAAACATCTGATCTGTTGTTTTAGGAGAAAAGTAAAATTATTATTTATTTTTTCGATCTAGGTAAATACAAACTAATAATAATGTTAAAAAAATGTTAAAACTTTAATTCTTGACTTTAATGATTTTTTATATCACATAAATCTTTATAATACGTGTGTAGCGTATATATATATATATATATATATATATATATATATATATATATATATATATATATATATATATATATATATATATATATATATATATATATACATATATATATATACTATATATATATATATATATATATATATATATATATATATATATATATATATATATATATATATATATATATATATATATATATATATATATATATATACATGGCCTACTATATTATACGGCCGTATATGTTACATTTTAGAGGCCGATTCTAAGAGGCCTATTTATTAAAAAGATGGCTGCGCAACTACAGAGAAAAAAACTCATCATCCAGACTAAATGTAATTTCGAGTACAAAGAAAAGTGTATTCATCAGCGATAATTAATCACAGAGATTTGTGTATTTATAAACATATATATCTATGTATATTATACATGTATTTGTATCTAATATGTATTTTTATATTTGTACATTATACATTTAAATTGACAACACGATTTTTACAAAGAAATTTACAAAGAAAACCAAGGTTTAAATTTATGTTCTTTTATTGTTTTATCTATCTTTATGCTAATATATATATATATATATATATATATATATATATATATATATATATATATATATATATATATATATATATATATATATATATATATATATATATATATATATAGATAGATAGATAGATAGATAGATAGATATATAGGGTTGTTTTTCTCTCTGTCTACTTTTAAAACTTTTAACAGCATCTTTTCGTACAGTAGCATTGATTAAGTTCTGCTTCTTGTTAAAAAAAACATTAATTATGATTTTAGAAGCAAAATTAAAACCCCATTTTTTGTGTATATCACAGGTAAAACAAACTGTAGGAAAGTATTTTGATAAAACAAAGCTTGATACGTCTTTGACATTAGCACCTTGTTTAGTTATTAAATCTGAAAGGTTATCTAACACTGCAAAATATCCACATGTAAAATCTTTAAGTGAAAGTGATGGTACTGTAAGACCACCTCTGGAAAGTATTTGTAGATATGGACAAATAATTATATTGCTTGTATCTGTAGCTAGCAAAGGTTTGCAATAATTACATTTGCTTCTTTTGATTAATTTTTTAGCAATGTAACCTGCTATTGTTGTTGCAACTTCTTCTGTTTTAGGTGAGAGAGTTGATTCAGATATCTCGTTTGAGTTTAAATCTAATATTGCCAGTAATTCATTATTAATTAGGTTATTGTGGTTGTTTTTTAGATCTTCATCACAAAAAATTATATTCTTCTTAATTAAAGACCGACATGCTAAAATAATTTCAGAATGTTGAACTTCTAGTAAGCTAACTAGAAATCTTCCACCACTCATCTGTCGATATTGCGAAAATCTACGCTCTATTGGGTCACTTTGAAGCCGTGAAGTAAGTACATATAAATATCCTTCTTCAATAAGGTCATCTTTAAGCATTGCTTGAGAACGCAGAGTTGTGATGAGAGCCGATGATGTTTGTTGTGATAAGGTAAAATATGGAGATTTCTGCCAAAGTTCAATCCAATTAGCTAATTGTCGAAAAAAAGTTGTTTTACCATCATTAAGAATAATCGCATTACCAAGTTTATTTGGGCTAAATTGCTCTTTAGAATTTGAAATAGTCCACCATTTGTGAAAAACTGTAAGAAAACCAGAAATGTCTTTACGTTCTGGAAAATAACTCTTGAAACCTGCAATTGTTGTTTCATCAAAAATTGATAGTGCAAGAGAAACGTTTTGCTTTTTGTTACCAGGGTGAAGACTCTGATATGAAATTTTTGGAGCTTTTCGTAAATTGCCTTGAAGTTTCTCATCTTTAGAATGTAGATGATAAAAATCTCCCCAAGTAATATAACCAGCTGGACAATTATTAGAATCATCTTTTATATTAAATGTAAAGGATGGAAAGACAAATTTTTTACAGTGTAATAAATTATTTCTGATATTTTTAACAAGATGAACACTATCATAAAATAAGTATATTTTAGAATTTGGACTATCAGGATGATTAATAGAGAAATTTGATTGATTACCAAATTTGGAACGAAGCAAACTAAATGCACTTACATTCGATTTATGATTATCGGTAACAACACCTCGAATTTTAAAACCAGATAGCGAAAGAGAACTAATAGAATCGGATATTTGATCTGAAAGCCATTTACCACTTATGTTAACTTCAGGTATCGCTTTAATAATGAAAGGAATTGATTTTTTTAAACTAACTATCATAAATGCAACAACTCCTTTGTACAAAGTACCTGTATCATCTGCACCCACATAAATACCACTACAATATTGTGCTTGTTTCTGAAGATAAAATTCATCTACAATTAATATTACATCTTCATGTATTGAACCTTTCTCACGAAGTGTTTTAACAGCCTTAATTGCATCAACTCCACCTTGTTTTATTTTATTTAACAAAGAAATTGAAGGTAATGGAAATGATTCTAGTAAAATTTCATATGCTTGTTTAGATGTATATCTTAATAATAAAGCATGTCTAATCATATCAGCAGAATATTGTGGTTGACCCTTGGCTTTATAGTATGTTCGACTATTTATTTCATCAAGAAGTATATTTCTATTAGAAGAAGCGGTATTTTTTATGTACGCTGCAAGATTTTCTAACATACTCAAACTAGTTAATTTAGAATTACGACCTTTTCATAACCATGGAGGAAGTGGAACATTATTACCTTTATATTGCAAAGCTACACATAAGCAATAATCAATTTTTATTGATTCAAGAATTGATGGAAAAAATGTTATAGGATCAAATATTAAATTATAATAAACTACACAATTGAGATGTTTTTTAAATTTGAAACCTTCTGGTGAATGTTTAATACTTAGCATGGTCCATTCAGTAACTTTATCATTTTCAGAAAAAGAACTTAGTTCATCTTCTTGAAAAATACGACTTTTAGGAGCTCTTCTCAAAGCAATAAGCGATGATAATGTGGAAGGACGTTTTAAGCAATCACTGGAGAAAATTTCAGGAATAGGATCTAGATTCCAATTTAACTTGCATTTTTTACCACGGATAATAAACTTTTCATTAAAATGCTTTTCACACAAAACGGAGTTTGGTGAAGGCACCCAATCAGTACGATTAACAAAATGAACCCAATAATTCAGTAACTGATGATTTTTTAACGGAAAATGAAAAGAAGAAATTTTTTTATCTTCTAAAGAACTGTTGTATCCAGTTTTACAACCATATGCAACACACTTGTTAACCATGATATGATTCAGCTTTTTTAGTATTTATTAATTTTCTAAAACAGTTATTATTATATATATATATATATATATATATATATATATATATATATATATATATATATAAATATATATATATATATATATATATATATATATATATATATATATATATATATATATATATATATATATATATATATATATATATATATATATATATATATATATATAATTTGCAAGTTCTACTTATTATGCAAGTTGCTTTTTATTTTGCATAATATGCAAGTTTAAAATTAATAGTTTTATCATTCAACTTGTTGCCTTTTTTTGTGCGAAAATAGGCCTCTTAGAATCGGCCTCTAAAATGTCACATATACGGCCGTATAATATAGTAGGCCATGATATATATATATATATATATATATATATATATATATATATATATATATATATATATATATATATATATATATATATATATATATATATATATATATATATATATATATATATATATATATATTGTTATTATATATAATTGTTATTATTATTATTATTATTATTTATATATAATTTTTCTTTGCCAATGATTTAAAAACAGTTTTACAGTAGAAACGTATAAAGAAACATTAAAGCAAAGGTATTCACACTAAGCAAAAATGCAAAATAACCTCAAAGAGCTCACCTCTCAGCCAACTAAACAAAAAAGTAATACTTTGTCAACAACTTTTAAGCTTACAATGAAAGGTGTCCCTGTGAAACCTCCTACACGTAAACCACAATCCGTTTCAATTCGTGATGTTTTAAATAACTGCGACATTGCAAAAGCCTTAAAAGGGAAGTTTCTTATGTCTACGGAACCAATTGAATCAATTCGTGCATCATTAGGTAACAGTTTCATTGGCACTTTATGCGATGCTTACAGCTACCACTATGCTGTTTCTATTCGTCCTGATGATGTCTGGCTCACTATTGTCATTGCTTTTGCAGACTACGTTGACAATCATGCCGAAGAAATGCGGCATCTGTTTGTAACTCACAAGGATAAAATGCAACTAGTTGTGAGCGGCCCACCTGGCAACAATAGCGCTGAATATTGGGCGGATTTAATTAAAAATATGTCAGATATGATTGATGCAAATACAAATCAAAGCGTGCGTGATTTCATTGAACCTCAGTTTACCACGACTACACCTAATGATAGTTTAGTTGGGAGAGTTGCGCTAATGGGTACCTTAAAAAATTATTTTTCATACGGGTTTTGCATGCTTTGTGGCATACCGCAGGTGACTTTATTGGGAACCATTAACGATTGGGTAAAACTAAAGGAAAAAATTGTTGAACTTGGAAATCGATTTGCTGAAAATCAACCACAGATTGGTTGGTGGCGTGACATCTTGTTACCAATAGCGGATCAATTTATTGCAAGTTACAATGGTAATCCTAATGAAGAATTTTGGCAAAGTTGTGCTAATCATTTAAGTTACCGAAGCGGATCCAATGCAATATCTGGTTGGGTGCTTGCTTTTTCCCCGTTTAGTAATGGTAAATGGCGTTTAAAAGACCCAAAAGATATTCTAGAATCTGGATGTTATGGTTCTATTGATATTGATTGTTTCAGTACTAGTGCAAAAGTTGAAGTTGGATTTCAAGTAAATGACAATGGATACGTTTATGACGCCTACTTTTATGCGGGAGGTATAGTAAACACATACCAAGAAGATACTAACACCATACGACCCAGTTTTGATTTTGCTATGTTTAAAGTTCCAAATGGTACAGTTAAGGACAAAATTAATTGGTAAAAAAAATAATTGAGGTACATCACAAGCTTTTTGGTTTTTTTCAAAATCTTTTGTAATATAAAATAACTTAGTTTAGGTCAAGTTATCCTTCAAACCATAGTTTTCGGTTTTTAAATCCAAAGTAATCTAGTTTTTTAATAATCTATTTTATTGTTTTTTTCGTCAAAATGCTTTGAAAAATCAATAAAAACGCTCTTTTATGACAATCACTCGTGAATGCATTTAAAATGTTTTTTTAAATTTTATTATTGCTTAAACTAAAAATTGGTTCCTTTAAAAACCTAACTGCTCACATCATTTCATAATGTTTTGAGTTAAATATATGTAAAATCTGTTGAAAATACAAATAATGAAATACATATATTCAAAATGTATTTTTAATTTATACCAACTAAATGTTTTTAACGTTCTTTGCTTTATATTTAAATGTAAGCTAAACCTAACTACTATATCTTTTCAAAATTGATATGCAACAAATATGAACTAAGAAATGACATTTTTATTTATCAACATTACTTGCATACAAATTTTGTAAGGTTTCTTATATCTTATCACGGTGTTTTTTTGTGGAACCAAATAGTTTTAAAAAATTTTTATTTTTTCCAAAGTTGGAATTTTTTAACTTTCAAAAACAAACTAAATAAAGTTATTTTTTCAATAGAAAATATTTTCGAATTCTTCTGATCTCGTTTCTCTTTTATAAGTGTTACCTAAATGTAATTTAAAATATTTGATTTTATTTTATATTATTTTGTTAAACGGTGTTTTATAATTGAGATGAATTTTCGTATTTCTATGTAGGTTTTCTTAAAAGGTATTTACTTTTTATTTCATATTTTTTATTTAATTGTTTTATTATTATTGTATTGTTAAATAGTTTTCGGTGACAAGATATTTTCATCAATATCATCTCTTGACTCCACTAGTTGCGTTCTAACTGATATAGCCGTCAAATAGGTTGATCCATTGCTTGACATCCATATCACTTCAGCTTCTGTATCTAAAGTGATTTCCTGCTTAGACTCTTCTACAGCTTGCGGCCCAGACAACATACCTGTTATAGTCTTGTAGAAGTGTTCTCCGGAGCTGTCGTTTATCCTTTCAAAACTATTTAAGAAGTGCTTATCAGAGTCTTGTTTTCCGGCCTGCCAGAAAACAGCATCTGTTATCCTTATTTTTAAAAATTCTGGAGAGCAATCCGATTCGTCTAACTACCGCCCCATTATTCTTCTTCCTATCATAAGCAAGATTTTTGAATCTTTAGTTAACAAACACTTAATCTCTCATCTTGAATCTATTAACCTACTTTCTGATCATCAATATTGATTTCGATCTTCTCGTTCTACGGCTGATTTGCTAATAGTAATAACCAATAGGTTTTATTGTGTATTAGATAAAGGTGGAGAGGTTAAGGCCATTGCTCTTGATATTTTTAAAGCGTTTGATAACGTTTGGCAAGCTGGTCTTCTCCATAAGCTTTCTTCTTACAGTGTATCTGGAAACATCTTTAAGATTATTGAATCCTTTCTTTCCAATCGTAGTATAAAAGTTGTCCTTGATGGACAGCACTCTTCTTCTTATTCTGTAACCTCAGGGGTTCCTCAAGGTTCAATCCTTGGCCCTATTCTTTTTTTAATTTACATTAACAATCTTCCAGATATTCTCACATTAAGGTGGCATTGTTCGCTGATGATATTACCATTTATTCTTGTAATGAAAAGAAGCCAAGTCTATCTGATTGCTTGCAGGGGGCATTTGAGCTTGAAAAGAATCTCACTTCTGCTACAGCATGGGGCTCACAGTGGCTAGTGAACTTTAATTTAGATAAAACTCAATTTTTTTCAGCCAATCGTTATTGCAATAATTTAGACCTTCCTATATTTATGAAGTTGTGTACTTGATGAGGCATCTACCCTTCATCTTCTAGGATTAACTCTCACTTCTTATTTTTCTTGGAAACCTTACACCAAATCCGTTGCAAAATTAGCATCTGCTAAAGTTTCATCTCTTTATCGAGCTTTCTTACACACTTTCTTACTATGGATTTTATTCTCTATCTCTATAAATTTCACATCCGACCTTGTATGGAATACTGTTGCCATATCTGGGGCGGATCTTCTAATAATGCCCTTTATCTTTTAGACAAGGTGCAAAAACGCATTGTAAACATAGGTGGACCTGCTCTTGCAGCCAACCTTCACCTCTGTCACATCGTCGTAATATTGCTTCTTTTTCTCTTTTCTACAAACACTATAATGGGCACTGCTCTAAAGAGCTCGCGTCTTTTGTGCCATCTACTAAAATTCATTCTCGTGTTACTCGTCATTTAATCAAGTCTCATCCTTTTTCTGTTACTGTTCCTAAGTGCTCCAAAAACTCTTATTCGTCTAGTTTTATTCCCCGAACATCAGTTCTTTGGAATTCGCTACCTTTATCTTGCTTTCCTGATTCATATAATTTGCAATCTTTTAAGTCGTCTGTCAATCGTTTTCTTGCTCGACAATCTTTATCTTTTCTCTTCCAGTAACTTCCAACACTAATCAGTGGTTGCTTGAAGCCTTGTGGAAGCGAAGATGTTTAAAAAAAAAATTCCTACGATCCTTTTCAAGTTTCCGTGTTCTCATAAGTTATGTACAACGACATTTTCACTAGAAAATATTTCTAAATGAACAAATTAAAAAGAAAAAAAAATACATAAGTTATTTTTTTTTTTTTTTTTATTATTATTTAAGTGCCTCTTGTCACATAGCACCGCGTAAATGCTTTTAACCAGAAAGTTCACGCCTCCTTCCTTACCGTGACGCGAAAATATGTCCAGAGCTTGTTTCGAACCTGCTTATAAAGTAAGCGCTGTAACAAAATTTTATAAAGCCACAGCCGTACAAAATTTTAATCTTTCTGTCAATTGGTTATCTTGCTTTCTTTTAATCTCTCTGTCAATTGTTATCTTTCTTTTTTAATTATGTATTTCATGGTTTGTATTTTTACCTTCAGTTCTTTAGCAAAGTAGGTGAAGACTGAAATTTGTTTGTATTTTGAAATATTAGTCTCATTAAGAAGTTTAAAAATTTTAATTTACCCATAATACAACCTGGTTTAAGTCAGAGTTTCAAAATAATAACTGAAATAATGAAGACTCGGTATTATCAAAAATGGTTATATTTACATTAACACTAATTTGGTCTAGACCTGCACCTTTTTTCAGACTATTAAAACCATTGCGTAGTTAGGTTTAAACTAGAATTATCGAAAACTTCTATCAGTCTTTGCAAGATATGAGTTGAAGCTTTATTTTATTAAATGGAGAGCTGCTAAGTTTGGACCAACATCGAGGAAAAAACTTTTTTAATATTAATTTTCCTAATATTAATGTTGACTTTTTCATTATTAATTTCTTTTACACAAATGAGTTTCCTGTTTTAAATACTTGCATTTTGCTTTTTGCACTATGTTTTTTCTCGATGATTTAAGTTTTTTTATTCAAGATCATGCGACTTATAACTTTTTTTTATAACAGTAAATGCTATAATTATTAATTTTACAAAATTAGACTAGAATAAGTCAAAAGCATTATTTATTTCGTGTGATTATAAAATAAGATTCTAATAAAAGTAATCATATAATAAAATTTGAAATTATCATATGATCTTTTCATTCAATTGTCACATAAATATTGTTTAATTTAGGGTCTACAAAGAATTATTTTAGGTTTTCTTACAAGCAATGTTTTTACCTAAAAGTTGTTGAAAGTTATTTTTAAATAAAGTTTTTTCAACTAAATGTTTTGATACGTGTGAAGTATATTTTTTATCAACCGTCGTATCGTTTTATCATCGTCGTGTATATATATATATATATATATATATATATATATATATATATATATATATATATATATATATATATATATATATATATATATATTACATTTCAATAAATATTGCAACGTATGCAATCACATAAATAATTTTTTTAATGAAAAAAAAGTTTCAAAAAAGTTTCATGATAAATTCGAACTTTTATTAATAATACCGCAAAAAAAAATCCTCAAATTTAAAACTTGCCGACTCAATTTTGTTAAACAGTGAGTTTCTCATGTCAAAAGAATCAGGCAAATTGTTGCATAACACGTCAACAGCAACTACGCAGAAGAGATGCGGTATCTTTTTGTAACCCACTGTAGCCCAATTTAAACAATAAAGTTTCCAGAAATTCTGGAAACCGTACCGTTTAAAAATGGGCGAATCAAAGGTTTGTCAGATAAGGTTAGTAAAAATATTAAAACTAAAGAAAGTACTTTTTTTGGACTTCTGTTTACAGCAACTACGTCCTGGAATAATAAATAATAACTTTAATAAATAATTTTTCTAATGGGTTTTGCATGCTCTACAGCATACCCCAGGTAACTTTAATGGGGACTATTAATTATTAAGAAAAACTAAAGAAAACAATTGGTTACAGAGAGGCAGAAAATCAAGTACAGGTTGGTTGGTGGTGTTACATCTTGTTACCAATAGCAGATCAATTTATTACAAGTTAGAATGGCTGTCCGAATATAGAAATATAGGAAAGCTACGCTAACCTATGAGTTATAAAAGATAAAATATCTGATTAGATACTTACTTTTTTTCCTTTTTGGTACGGAAAATGGCGTTTAAGAGATCGTTTAGATAAAATTTGGATGATACGGTTGTATTGACATAAATCGTTTTAGTATTAGCGCAATTTCATAATCGTTTCAGTATTAGCGCAAAAGTTGAATTTTTTTTCTAAGTAAATGACAATCGATATGTGCATTTTATGCGGGCGGTATATTAAAACAAACCAAGAAGATTTCTACACCGTACGACCCAGTTTTGATTTGCTAAGTCCCCGATAGTGCAGTTAAAAAAAAAATCAAATGGTAACAACAATGGTGTCAATTCAATTTTTTACAAAATTGAATTTATTTGTAGCAAACTAGTTATTTTAAAAGTTATTTTTTTCATAAACTTCTGTAAAACTAAAATTACAATTT